CACGCAACGCCTTTAACGAACAGGCTATATTAGGCAAGCTCGCTCATTACAATTGCAAAAAAAACACTTTTATCCCGAGCAAACGGCGCGGAGCGCCGTTCCTGGGGTAAGCCCGGGGCGAGGGTACTAATTCCGTTCGGCTATTTAAACCCGGGAAAGGAAAGCATTAGCGAAGTGTGAAGTTCATCAAACATCGCGGGCGTCTGGCTACGATCCAAGGGTGGACCTTCCACTGATCTCAAAAATATGGTGGATTGCCTTGGAAATGGCGAACACTGATTGGTCAAATTTAAATTTCGCTTTATGATGACTGACGACATCATAATAGCAGACATTACTTGAAAATGTACCTATTTTTTAAAACATTTTGCAGATTTGCTGACCCTTTTATACGCGTTCTTTTGAGAAAGTTAAAAAAGGTTAGGGCAATAGATTTACAAAAGGTTAGGGCAATAGATTGCTGGAAATCGTAAAACCCAATTAAGGTAAGTTTGTTTTGAATATATATTGATGTATTATTTTCTTTATAATAATTGCTTTAAAAACTGATCGTTGCGTATAATGAAAAAAGACTGATCATTGCATACAATTTCAGCCGTAGCGTAATTCGGGGCAAAACCACTGAGTTATACTATATTACTGGAGAACCTGCTCGGCATAAAAAAGTGAAGCCAAAACGTGGCGGATCTTACGCTATTGCCACGACTACTGAATGGGAATTTTGTGTTGTGTCAACGCGTATTTCGTTTCTTGATGTGTTGTCGCCAGTCCCTCCATTCTCCTGAGGGACTGCTCGCGGTCTACAACAGTGCCATGGACTCATTGTTGGAAAATTCAGCATCTCTATTGTTTTGACAATATCTTCATGACCAATTTTGTTGTTTAGACTTTATTTTGACCAAGTCAGTCCGGTTAGTGTTTCGTATAGCCATAAAACATCCTCCCTGTATAACTGAGATCTTGCCTTGTTCAAGTGAGATCTCACAAACTGAGCCAGTCAGGTTGTCCATACAAACTGAAAGGAATTTAGTACCAATATAAAAATATTAAAATAACCACACAGTGAGGTCTTGCTTAGGGAGTGTTCATTATTTATGGTGGTTTGATATCATAGGGGGAGGGCAAAAAAAGTTTAGTGTGTTTGTTTATATGGGGGTCACCAGAGTTTGAGGAGTAATTGAGGGGGGGGGGGTCATAAAAGTTTTAATTCTGGCAATGTTTTGACCCCTTTAATTAAAATATGTTTTTATAGAACATGAATATTTTGAATTATAAAATGGCTACACGTTTACAGGAGCTTTTGCACTATTACTAACGTCTTAAAATAAACTCACTTTTTAATTGTTTAACTGATATTGTGCATACCATATGTATACACTTGTATTGTATTTTATATAGAGGTCAGCCGATCATCGGCAAAACATCGGCAAAACTGATTAATCGGCTTGTTTTTTCACAATCGGCCATCGGCCGTCTGTCTTCCACCATTTGTATGGTCAGCGGTGTAATAAAAAAATGAAATTCAAATATTTGGTGTGGAAACAATTATCGAAACGAAAGTGGAAACACTATGTTTACCGATTTCCCGCGTTTTTTCATCGTTGACTTCTCACTTTTCTGGCATTTCTGCAAGATTTATTAATTAAATTATCGTGTTCCGTGACTTCCGTTGACCAGTCTGTGGCACGCTGTGGATTTCAGAATCAGTGTTAAAAATGTTGCTTCCTGTTTCTGCATGTTTTGAGTCTTTTGACGAGAGGATACATTAGTAAAAAAAATTAAGATGACCATCGGTTTTGCCGATTAATCGGCCGATGGTGGGTAAATGTCGGCTGTTAACAATCGGTATCGGTAATCGGCTTTCTTGGACATCGGCTCACCTCTAATTATATATAATATGGCGAGGGAGGGTCGCAAAAGTTTTTGGTATTTTATTTGGGGGGGGGGGGGTCATGTGAGTTTCGCTGTTGCCAGAGGGGGGTCATATAGACATTGAGAGAGAGAGGAGGTGTGAAATGCTGCACCCCCCTTAACCATACATAATGAACACTCCCTTACTGGGCTAGCTGTTGCATAAACAGCTAGCCCCCAATTACACCAGAAATATGGCAGAACTAGAGACAATTAACATAATACTCGTAGGGATGGGGCACACAAGCTGATGGCCTTTTAAAAATACATACAACAAACTATTATCAGAGAGCACATAGCTACAATCCTGGATATAAAACATGCCTTCTCACTTCTCAGATCAGCCGCCCCTAGCAGCTGAGCTTTGTCCTGCACCACTTCACCACAAGCTCGTGCATAACAAAACCTTAATTCCCTCTGTACGTACTAGAAACTAGCACATCATAGTTTCATCTCTTCATATACATATACTGTGCATCCAATCATCGGGATTGGGGGATGAAATTATTGCATAAATTACAGTAAATAAAAAATGGTTAATCAACAACCACATTATAAACACTTGTGGCTTGTGAGTACATTCTACCATTTATTTCCAAATTTTTTTTATGAAATACTAAAATAGTAATATGTGAAATTTAAAATGTTTACCTGTTTATAGTTGACTGTTAGACTGTCGTTGGCCGGCTTGAAACATCGTTTTTGTCCACGTTTCGGGAGGTTCAGTAGTTGTTTGTTGTCTTTCACGGACGAGAATAACGTGTACGACTTCCACGTCCTTGAACAAATGATCAAACATCGAAAAAATATGTCGAAAATAACAAAACAATAAGGATTCACAAAAGCTGAACTATTTTTTTCAAAAACCGGCGGGGGGGGGGGTGAAAACTGTAGCGGACTCATAATTGAGCCTTGCTCAGTGGCAATTACCATGAATTTTGGGACTAGTAGTCATGGAAATGGCATCAATTTTCATCAAAATCCTCCATGTTTTTGGCTTCACTTCGTTGACTGAAGGAAGTATAGGAGCAGTTCTCCAGTTATTATATAATTTATATAGCGCAGTGGTTTCCGGTTCAACGTTGTATGAAATTAGACGTTATAGTTACCCGGGGATTTAGTTCCGGGGGTCTTTTGCACGGGGTCTTTTATAGCGAGCACATGGAAATTT